ACGACCTTTTCACGCATCTGCTCGAATGTTCCATGCAATTTGAGAAATAAGCCAATCGCACGGTCCTGTGCTAAGACCGTGATCTCAAAGCAAGGAATCGGGTAATTGGCTTAAACGTACGATCCAGGTGTTCTATCTGACAGGTAGCGTGCAGTTTGATTCAAAGTAAGACCATGAGGAATAACTGCGGTGAAACTGAGCTCCACGAAATCCACTTGCATTTGTTCGACAGTCACAATTAGGCAGCGAACCGTCTATTGAATCGGATGTGGGCAGACGGTACCAACGGGTAAACCGTGGTTTGATAAAAAAATTAACAATAAATCGTGAACTGAATTAAAGAACTTACTGCTAGATTGAACCTTAGGTAGTTTGCAACACAGGATGGCACATAAGGGGCAGTGAGCTATCGGGCAAATTAAACGAGAGGAATTTTGCTCGGTTTAAAGGGGAACGAATTTACAACAACAAACCCAGAAATGAATGTGAACAAATCGGCTACAGGAAAACAGTTACTATAGAGTGGAAGTTGTATAAAACAGAATGGTTTAATCTTGAAACCTGAGCAGTCACCAGAAGGGGAACGAATTAGGCTGAGGAATAAGGAAACAATTACTTATGTCACGTAATTAAACTATCATTATAATGAGAAGTGAATCCTGGTATATGCCACCAACCGCTTTCAGATATTATGCCACTCTGCTTTTGGGATATGACTTGAAGTTCAACTGCCCATCCATCACCGGCCTCGGACAAACTAACGCAGTGTTGCGACCCATTGATTCAAGCAGGCCAGAACTAGAAGATCCCGTAGTTGCAATAGTCGCCTTGAAACTGGGGGCCAAACGAGTAGTGAAAAGAGAGTTTCGCGTTTGGCCGGTGATCTATGACAAGGTTCGCCAGGCTACCGAACAAGACCTTTCACGTACCCGCCCAGGAGACGAACTGAGACCTTATTGCAGCCGGTGTGACGCAACATCACCAGCTGATTGATTCCTTTTGTTTTCAGGACGCGCCATTGTCCCAAGTAAGTCACAGTTTTATAAAGGGCCCCCGGGAAGGAACAGCATGAAGTTCCTTGCTCGGAGTTACGTCTACTGGCCTTTAATGGACTCTGAGATTTAGCAAGTCCCCAAATCTTGCCTGCGGTGTTTTAAAACATCCAAGTCACCCGTGAAAATTCAATTACAGTCGTCGAAGAACCCTGATATCGTCTTCAAATCCGTTGTGCAGGTCCAGTTTGTGGCTAACACTCACTCGTGGTTGGTGCCTAGGGCTAATAGACGGAAATTTTTCCGGTGAACAGTTGCAGATCTACCACTATATTCCTGGAGCTTCGAAGATTGTTCAGTCGCTTTAGAACACCAGAGACTATTGTACCCGACAGCCGCAGTCAGTTCATATCGACGGCTTTTGCAGAGATCTGTTGGGCGTATACCGTACCTCATTTCCTCTCGCTGTCTTTTACTCCACAGCCAATCGGCTAATTTGACCCCCCTGTTGACACTCTGAAGTGCACCAGAAGTTCAGAGTGGAGGGACAAGTGGAAGTGATTTGGCAAAGTCTCCTGCCTCCATACCAAGTAATGACAAACCCTAACTTGCCCGCTGGGGTGTCACCAGTAGAAGCATCGCTCCAAAGATAGCTTAGAACACCAAATGACACTGTCTGGACGCAGAAACGACAGGTTATTACCGCAATACAAAAATGGAAGGAGAGGATGGAGCAACCGCTCGCCGTTTCGACGAAGGTCATTGAGTATCGTTTCATGACTACATCGACAGACACACTACGTGGATTCCAGGCCACAGCCTTCGTCGGCGCGAGCACAGGGCTCTGCGAGATTCAACTTGGCCCAGTCAGGTGGATACGCTACAAAAACCGAATCCGGCTAACAAATGAGCAGCTCCTGCCCACAAGGCCGAGTGACCTGAGTCTGGAGATGCGCCTATACACATTCAATCTCAGCACTATCCCAGAAAATCCACCAGTTGCGTCCCAGCACGCATTACCACCGCGAAGCTGAACAGACGGAATCCGCAGGCCACTGAGGCCACCGCAGCTGAGCCTTCGCCGTTGAAGCCACGTCAACAACATTTAGGAGGAAGGTGTTGGATCAAATTTTACATAAACATTGCTTTACAGCTGGCAGTTAGGCGCTGCTATGGCCCAGAAGCCTATCCAGCACGATATTAACCAAACGTTTGGCATCAGGCCGGCATCCGAGTGGCCTAAAGTCTGAACCCAACCGCCAGTCATGCTCCAGTATCGGCCGAATGCAGGTCGACAATAACGCCCCAGAAGGCATCAGAATGTCTAGTTTTTTTTACTCTTACACTACATATACGATGTGCCGCACAAATAGTTCTGCCTAACGTCTCACAGTTCCTTCTCTGGGGTCTTTCGACCATTTTGGACAATCAGAACCGGCATCCCGTGCTTCGGGTACCCACCCGCCTGCTCCAGTATCGGCCGAATGCAGGTCGACAATAACGCCCCAGAAGGCATCAGAATGTCTAGTTTTTTTTACTCTTACACTACATATACGATGTGCCGCACAAATAGTTCTGCCTAACGTCTCACAGTTCCTTCTCTGGGGTCTTTCGACCATTTTGGACAATCAGAACCGGCATCCCGTGCTTCGGGTACTGTCAGACACTATGGAATCTGCTCTTTACTGCAGCTTCAAGACTTTCCGCAGGGCCGCGTTCCAAGACATTATCCTTACACGCTATGAATGTATAGAGGAATATAGGTTGAGTGCCGTAGGCATTAAACATCAAGCGTGAGTTCTCGGGGACCGTAACTAAGTTTGGACAACCATGAAACTTGCAAGAACGGAATGGTCTAAAATAATTTGAAAGCGAATGAGTAAGACTGGCTTTTGTTAGATGTTATTACAGTCGAGCGTTTTAGATGTGTTTGTTGGAGAGCCTCTAAGGAGACAAAAAGATGCGCCACTTTAAAGGTTTTTGGTGGAAGCTCGACGTACCAATTAAGGTGCATGTTACAATTGGCATTTTTTGAAAGTTGGTTCGCAAATACAACGCATTCTCTCTTCCGTAAAACTCTTTAGTTGCTTCGCTAACGACTCGCTTAGTCATTCAGCATGGCAATATTTCTGACGCACTTGACCGTATTTCTTCCAATACGAGTTCTAGCACATCGGACCAATTTACAAAATGCAATCCGAACACCGATTATCGCCGGCTGTTTGTTGGTGCATGGCCAGAGTCTTGAACAGGGTTGTTTCTGTCTCCAAATCTCCCCACGTTCATTTTCGTCTTTAGTCAATACTGAGTATTGCCCCATCAAATTTTGCTATAGGCATATTCTTGAATTATTTGTTCAGATAAACAAGTTCTTACGTAGCCATAGACTGTTCTCAAACCCTATATATTAGTGGTCATTTAGTCAGATACCTACCGCGCTACTTATCCTAAAAATTGTCATAAAACTTAACTGGCTTTCGCGTGGAGGAAATGCTCCGAGGTGTGACCATCACTTATCTAGGGATAAATTTTTCCTGTCCCATCGATGATCCTTGCACACATCTGAATCTATCAGACGTATATCCATCGCTTAACCTGCAGCCGCAAACAATGCAGTCCTCCATTTAGCTCCGACGCACCAAATATGCACACGTTGCCCATTTTTGGTCGGTTAACGCCAATGCTAAGCCCGGCAAGTCATCTCGTTGACCTGAACGGCCCCTGGATTGTTGTTCTCTACAAGTTTTGTTTCTAAACTGTGTTCAGACGATTGGCTTTGCCACGTTTACCAGCCCATTCGTTGCGCATTAGAGCACGTTTGTCGTTCTAGCTATATTCCAAGCAATGTGGAAGATCTAAGAGCGCCACTTCAGAAAGGCCGCAATGGCCTAAGATGGCGCGTCCTTCATCTACAAAAATGTCACCGTTTAGGACTTTTCTCTTGCTCCAAAAAACGCAAAACAGGTACAAATGAAATCTTCTTCGCGACGTCCGTAATCTGCCCTACGTAAAGGCCAAGATGACCTCTTTGTCATTCGGGGAAGACCTTCCCAACAGCCGTGTGTCGCTCATCAAGTGAACCCCAGACACTGAATGTGGCCATGCCCTCCAACGTGGTTGGGTCAACGCTATTTTTCTCGGTAAATTGTCGTATTGTGTCGCTGCATAAATGCAAAAACGCCAGAGAATACCGTTTGAAGGAAACTGTAATCCATACGGCCACCGTCACGCCTATTACCACAAAGAGGTCTGCACCTTTGGCAATAATAATTATTTTCGTTCACAGCTCGTAGGTGGCGTGCGTTCAGGCATGTTCGTAATGATACTGTCGGAATAAAGATATGCCTGATTTCAAATGTAGTCACACAAACAATGAGATTGTTCGATGCGGACTTGGCCAGGCTATAACTTATATGATTTAATGTGGTGGGAATCGACGGCGGAGAAAACTTTAATGGTTTTTCCTCGTATCTAATGGATAATATCAAACTGAGGAGCTGATCCAAAAGGCATTCGCCATTTTACGGACGGTCCGACGCACCTTCTCCCGTATCACTCGCATGGACTTCCAAATACTCTATGGGGCCTACGTCAGACCGCTCCTGGAGTACGCCAACCAAGTTGTCTACTCGGGACGTACGAAAGACGTCACTCTCATTGAGCGTGTCCAGCGGGCCGCCACGAGAATGGTTGCCGGCCTCAAATCCGTGGGCTACGAAACGCGTCTCGCGATGCCTGATCTCATTCCCCTGGAGTACCGTCGCCTCCGAAAGGACCTAATTCTTACTTACGCCCTGTTTGAACAATGCTTGGCAAACAGGTTTTTTACCGTTTACCCAGTAAACACCCGGCGATGACATAGTAAGAAAATTTTCAAGCTCAGCGCACACACATTCACTAGACAAATTTTTTTTCATTTCGGGTAGTAGCTGCGTGGAATGACCTTCCTCCGACGGTTGTACACGCTCCTTCCAGAGCCCAATTTAAAGCATTATTAGACATTTATTTATGCGAATCCTCGCGCTGGCAAGCATACCGCCCCGCGCTGAGAACATAAAGAGCAGTGCTACACCCCTTTTTCGCTTGTGACTTTCAGGTGAACGACAGCCACTGACCGACAAGAACAAAACCGACCCGGGAAACTTGGGCAAAAGCCTCGATCCTGTGTATCAATTGAATCCGTGAATCCATAGACGCATTGCTCAAGTTTGTCTGAAACCGTTGTGTGAACCGAGGCAACCCATCGCATTTAACCAAATTTGAACTGTGCCCAAGAGTCAGAGTTTTGCTGAACCTAGTTTAAGAGTACTTGAGCTCTACTTTCGGGACGGAAATAATAATTAATTGACTGTCGTGACTAAGCATGATACCTCCGTTTAGACGTTGGGAAATTTTTGAGCGAAGGGCCCTTTATTCAAGTGTTCTATCTTGTATTGAACTGGAGCTACTTTGAATCGGCACCCGAAAATACAATACCTAAGATGTGGCAAACATACGCGAATCATCCATCTATCTAATCATTGCATCAAGCGTCTCGCCAGTTAAAGCCAAAGAACTGGATACAGCTGAAGAGTTTGACAAGCTATGGAGATGGACAAGTTACCGTTGAGGGGCCGCAGTAACCATCGGCATATGGATTGAGGATAAGGGTGACTTGTGATACTGCCTGTTGCGTGGAAAATGATGCCAGCTAACCCTAAAAGTTGGGAAGAGGGTGTGAAAGCAATTATAGCCGGAAAGGTTACAAATATGAGAGTAGGGAAAGACATCTAATGCGCGGTCGTGAGACACGTCTGCAGGATGTGGCTGCCCCAGCGTGGCCCATTANCTTCTAACGCCGTGAGACACGTCTGCAGGATGTGGCTGCCCCAGCGTGGCCCATTACAGCCCAAAAAGCTAAGGGCCTCGCAAAACGAATCGCCTCCGAGGCGTCGCACTATGTGCATTTAGTGAGTCTTGATTGATTTCACATGAGGCGGTATTTTTCTGCCACGTACCAAAAGGTCATAAAGCTGAATGGTCACCTTTATCAGCGGCGCATATTACAAACACAACAGGCTTAAGCACAGACATCAACGAAAGCTTCTTTTTATTTCTGTTTTGTCTGCTGCAGAAGATGGAATACGAGACCAAGCACAGGCTAGTTAAGGTCTTAATGAGAAGAGCATGCAGCTGAAAGATAGTTGTCAACCGTGCAATCGTGCACATCGTCGGCAAAATGAGTCAAGGAAGAAGCGGACATGGCACGGAAGATCTGGTAGATGTATAGGGCTGAGTAGTGACTGTGAAGGCCGATTGCGTAGGATATACACGGATAAGGAGGCGAATGTGTTGAGTGGATGGATTACGGGTGGTTAGGGCTCAACCATAGCTAAGAGGACGAAGTCAGGGCTGGCTGACCTGTGGCGGGTTAGAGGATATTTTTCGTGGGTGATAAGATGGAAGAAGCCTTGCATATCGCAGTCGGATTATTATCAACTTCAGGGATAGGTTCTATCAAGCGCGGCTGCCATAGTCTCTCACGCATTCTGATAGTTTGGACAATATCTTGGAAGTTGAAACGGGTGGTGGCATTTCGACATGAACGATGAAATAGCTGAGGCCTGAGCCCCTATGACAGAAAGGGAGAAGTGCATTCAACTATCCTGAAAAAGCGAGCATCTTTCATCGTGCTAAGTGTGTCTGGAATGCGGAGCCTTCTTCAGCTATAATCGGATGCTGAAGATCACAACTGAGTTACTTAGAAACGCGGGAACCGGAGCAGATAAGTGGTGTCCAAGAGCGCATCTGTTGGTTGATGGCAATGCTTCTGCAGAGGAATATCGAATGAGTACAAATCATGCTGAGGATGACGAAACTGTGGTTTCTGCTACGCTACAGTGTACAAGCATCGGAAAGCGGAAATGGCATGAAGTTAAGTCTCTGAAGGCGCATTTGTGACATCAGGATTTTCGCTGCGGCCACATCCATGGGCACATGTCATAGGAAGAATGAGATCCTTGAGTTTTAGCCATCAAATCCATACCAAGCGATCTTAGACTGCTTCGAATAACCGCTCATTATCTTCAACCCCGCTGGGTCCAACGTTGGTGCACACATGGATCCTTCATCGCTGAAGGTGGGACAAATTGGGCGAGTAATAAGTCTGCTCTTATAATAGTAAGACGTCTGAGCAATTTCATCGAAAATATAAAATAGATTAAACTGAATGTGCATTTTGCATTTCACATTTATCACCGGTTTACGGAGACTAGAGTGACTAACCAATATGGCTGTGCCAGCACGCTCCCAAAATGCAACACTTCGATAACAGTGGTTTTATAACTTTCAAGCGAGGGCATGGCGAATCGACAACTCACTGATGAAGAAGGGCTGGGGTAAACGTTTGCATGCACGGTAAATCTTCCATTTTTCCAGGATCACATGCTCACCATCTCCACAGGTTGGGTGGCACTTTGACTCTGTGTGAAACAACGGGCTGTTAAACGTTTCTCAGCCGTTCTTATTACCGGTTCACATAATCTGCTTCGGGGCATAAATTATTTCCCCAACCTTCCCATATTTAATTACCCTAACTTTCTGTAATTCGGTAATTCATCGGCCATCAATTAGCTATCCCAAGCTGTTCCCGGTAGTGACTTTGATTCCAGTCATCTAAACATATATAAACATATATGTCTAGCATTCAGCTGCACCAACTATAATGCAGCGGAAGTGGTTTTCGCTGTGTCAGGAATGCGTCCCTGATTTGCTGTTCAGGTCAAAAGTATCTCAATTGTTTTAGTGCACTTTTGAGCGGGCCGTTTGATTTGCTGCGGTTTCGGCGCTGTGATTGAGTGGTCTCTTGTTTCGGCACACACGCTTTCATGAGCAACTTGTGTCCCATTTTTCAGTGTCACTTGGGGACTTTCTGCGCCGCCGTTTCGTGATTTACTCAACTCTCACTTGGAGACTTCCATTGAGGCCGGAACTTTGACGGTATTCATGTTGGTGCCATGTGTGCACTGCTGTGAACGCCTGACCTGGAGTTTTCGCTCCGCCGTCTGAGGCCCCCAGTTTGGAGGACTGCACCAATATCATCTGTGGTGAGTTACTATTGCGGTTTTTAAACGCTGTCCTGTGGCGGTGGGTCGTGTTGCTTCATGTGCGTGGCTAAGAGGCACACAAACTGGCTACTTTCCATAAGGTATTACATATGGAGGTAGCATAGAATACCGGTTCTTCGAAGCAGGGGGTTTCAGTCCTAGAACATTGAACTCAAGGACCGCCTCCCGAGCTGGAGTACAACATGCAAGACCAGTCGTAGTACTAATCCTCACGCTGAAGTGAACCAAAGCGGCCAGTGGTGTGGTTGAGAAACATCTCGCCTAGCATGATCGGATGGGTGTGTACACAGATCAGGTAGAGGGTATAGTAAACAACTGGCGGGGCAATTCCACGGACTGGAAGCATACATGACAAAAATTGGTGATATCAAATGTGACAGGGTGGATTGTGGGTTTTAAGTGGTGAGTGCCCAGTTGCCCGGTGTATGACATTCGGTCGTCGTGCCTGCGGCACTTCAACGAATCTATAAGTTGAGTAGTTCCAATAATTCTGGTCAAGTTTCCAAACATCCAGCTTATGTTGCCTGACATGATAACGCAGAGTGCTGTTCCTAAGTGCGATAAATGCCAAGCTCGAATGGTGTACAGGTGTGGTATGGTATATAGCAGCACAACGAAATGCGCTGAAGTTCGCCCGACTCCTCGCTTGACTAGAAAATTACACCAACGTATTATGAATTAGCTATTCAGGTTTTCCAGCTCAGCAGAACACTTAGGAATCCGACCAAAGCTCTCTGGCGGAACGAATCGAATCCGGAGCTGACGATGGACGGCCTTGTTTTACAAAAGACGACGAGAACTAGCGTAAATGAGAGATCCAGCTATTTCCGTTGGGTCTTTTTAAAATCAAAGTGGTGCGCAAGTGAATGTTTTTCACAGCTTCGCCAGTCCTTCAAATTGGGCATCTCAAGGATGAACGTGACAGCCTATCGGTGAAAAGTAGTGTCTACAACTCAGCAGGTTATCTAACGTTGTTTTACGGTTATGAAGCGTGATCACTGCGATGAAGATAAAGGAAGATAGCTCGTCTTTGACCAACGGTGTATTCGAGTCGACGTACATGTATCATAGGGACCTCGGATTAAAGGCTTTCGGTGACAAATCAGTTTCTCGTCCGATTTATGGCTGATTCTGCTTCACCAGCTGCGCTGGTTTAACCATTGCTCCGTATGCCAAGTGATTGATTGCCTCGCCATGCTGTTTTCTGACGAAGGTTCCCGCTGGAAGATACGCCAAAATGGACATCCGGTGGCCTGGAAACGGGGTATGACAAATAACGAAGGGTCTTGACTGCACCGGAGCATGTCGTGTACGGCGTTATGACCTCAGGGATCCACCGCGTCATTGGTTGGAGGTACCTCTCGACAGGGCGATGTCACGCAACTGATGGCGTTATGTTATCCGTCCTCTTGTCCACACTGTTTGCTATATTTTCCCATTCCCTGTGTCGCACACCATCCACTGACATCCACTGCGGCCTTGTCGATCTGGAGTACGCAGATGACCACGCAACTACGTTATGTTATCCGTCCTCTTGTCCACACTGTTTGCTATATTTTCCCATTCCCTGTGTCGCACACCATCCACTGACATCCATCCA